AAGAAAAAAAGTAAAGTCATTTTAAATCTAGAAAAGTGAAGACTGAAGCTATCAAAGGAGCAGAGTGAGAGGTATCAGGAAAGTATATTTTCACATTAACATTAATTTTGTATATATTTATGGGACCATTTGATGGAGTGTTCCACTGTGACAGCCAAAGAGCAGAAGTCATTGAAGAGTTTTGACCTCAGGATTTGAAATTGTCTACGTTAAGTGTAGAATATTGGATTAGTCATTGTAAAAAAAAGACCATTTTCATTTCATAAGAATGACTCATATTTTATTTCCTGTTTAGTTTTAAAGATACTTCAGGCCAGGCGTGGTGGCTCATGCCTGTAGTCCTAGCACTATGGGAGGCCAAAGCGGGAAGATCACTTAAACTCAGGATTTCAAGACCAGCCTGAGGAAGAGTGAGACCACCCCGTCTCTACAAAAAAATGAAAAAATTAGCCGGGCATTGTGGCGGTTGCCTTTAGTCCCAGCTACTTGGGAGGCTGAGGCAGGAGGATCACCTGAGCCCAGGGGTTTGATGTTGCTGTGCTCTATGACACCATGGCACTCTAGCCTAGGCAACAAGGTGAGACTCTGTCTCAAAAAAAAAAATTGTATTTGGCTGGGCGTGGTGGCTCACACCTGTAATCCTAGCACTCTAGGAGGCCAAGGCAGGAGGATTGCTTAAGCTTAGGAGTTCAATCAAGACCATCCTGAGCAAGAGTGAGACCCTGTCTCTATAAAGAAGTAGAAAAATTAGCCAGGCATTGTGGTGGACACTGTAGTTTCAGCTACTTGGTAGGCTGAGGCAGAAGGATCATGTAAGCCCAGGATTCTGAGGTTGTTGTGAGCTAGGCTGACACCACAGCCCTCTAGCCTAGGCAACAGAGTGAGACTTGGTCTCAGAAAGACAAAAAAATAAAAAGAAAGAAACAATTGCATTTGGCTGGGCGTAGTGGCTCACGCCTGTAATCCTAGCTAGCACTCTGGGAAGCCAAACAGGAAGATTGCTTGAGCTCAAGAGTTCAAGACCAGCCTGAGCAAGAGTGAGACCCCCCCCTACAAAAAGATAGAAAAATTAGCTGGGCACTGTGGTGGACACCTGTAGTCCCAGCTACTCGGGAGGCTGAGGCAGGAGGATCACTTGAGCCTAGGAGTTTGAGGTTGTCATCAGCTGGGCTGATGCCACAGCACTCTTCCCAGGGCAACAGAGTGAGACTCAGTCTCCAAAAAAAAAAAAAAAAAAAAAATTGCATTTGGCTGGGAGTGGTGGCTCACACCTGTAATCCTAGCACTCTGGGAGGCTGAGACAGGAGGATTGCTTAAGCTTAGGAGCTCAAGACCAGTTTGAGCAAGAGCGAGACCTGTCTCTACAAAAAAAAAAAAAAAAAATAGAAAAATTAAAAAGAAAAAACAAAAAAAAATAGAAAAATTAGCCGGGCATTGTGGCGGTTGCCTTTAGTCCCAGCTACTTGGGAGGCTGAGGCAGGAGGATCACTTGAGCCCAGGGGTTTGAGGTTGCTGTGAGCTATGAAGGCACAGCACTCTAGCCTGGGCAACAGAGTGAGACTCTGTCTCCAAAACAGGAAAAAAAAAAAAAAAAACCAAAAAACCAAACCAAAAAAAAAACTTTATTCGTCACCATAACAAGTAAAGTAAAATAGTGAAGTCCATTTTTATAGATGGGGCTTTGAGTCTCATTTGAGGTTACTTGAAGAAATTTTTGAGTCTGTTTCTCAGAACAGAATAGAAATATTAAATATAAGCAACTTCTTGGGAAAACAGGGTGCCACTTTCAGATGACAGAAACTGTGCATGAGAATAAATAAGTGTGAGTCTTTAGGTAGATGAAGATATCATGCACAGTCGTATGTAGCAATAGAGTTCACTGTCTCCACATTTATGAGGATATATAATCTTCATGGTGTGAAAATCTTAACATGGCTGAGACAGGCTAACAGAAAAAGAACCAGTATATACTGGAGAACAAGGAACTTCAAAGCCGGCAGAAATAGTGAATGTTTTATTTGAAAGTACATTATCTATATTTATATGAATAAACATCAGTATTTTCGTGTAATAATAGTGTTGTGCAATAATAAGTGATTGGTGGAATGTACATTGTTATGGACTAAATGTTTGTGTCCCCAAAAATTTGTATTGTGAAGCCCTAACCGCTAATGTGATCTTATTTAGAAGTCAGGCATATGGGAGGCAATTAGAGTTCAATGATGTCATGAGGGGAGGGGGTCCCCTCATGATGGGATTAGTGCCTTTATAAGAAGAGACATTGGAGAGTTTGCTTTCTCTGCACCATGTGAAGACACAGCAAGAGGACAACTCTCTGCAAATCAGGAAGACAGCCCTCACCAGAACCTGACCATCTTGGACTTTTGTGCTCCAGAGCTGTGAGAAGTATATCCCTATTGTTTACATAACCCAGCCTATTGTATTGTGTTATGGCAGGCAGAGCTGACTGATACATGGGGGAAACCCTAGGTTTATACAGTGAGCTCTTTTCCTGTCTGTTCACCATGTGTGGTAGCTTTCAGTCCCTCTTTATGACTTGTGCCAAATGTGTAAGAAATAAAATCAGAGTTCTGTTTTGTAATTCATCATAAACAGTTAGACTCTTCTCTCTTCATTTCTTTCCTCAAGAATGACTTTTGAGAACACCTGTATGTTGTTAATAGAACTTCATGGAGAAATGGGTTAAGACATTCTACATTTGACTACAACTGAGGAAACAACAACCAAAATGGTGAGGTGTGAGCATGCATGCAGTATACTGAAACAATTAACTTCCCATTTAAACTCATCTTTTCAGATCTGTAAAATAAGCATTAAAGAATTCCTCACCACCTGGAGCAAATAGGTAAGCACATGGTACAAAGAAGGCTCATGGAGAAGCATGTCTTTTCTCCCTCCCCTTCTACACACATTCTCTATCTTGTTAATTCCTCTGCCAACCTGCCATAGAGGTTGGTTCCAGATCAGTGGTGACACATCTGAAGGTGGGGGGGGGGGAGCAGAGGGTGCCCAGCTAACAGCCACATATTTCCTCAGTCTAATTGCATATTGCATTTCTTGCCCCCCTTGGGGGATTTCAAGAGTGCATGGGAATGGTAATACATTGTAACATAAAACCTAATACAGAATTGTGAGAATGGCCTGTCCTTACTGCTTTATTTCTGATCTAGTCAAAAATCCTCACTTAATCTCATTTGCCTTTTCCCTCACAACTCCTCTTCAGCTCTTAGAGACATCTCTGTGAGGGTTGTAAAGGTAAGCAACTCCAGGCTATTGTGTGTTCCCAGCTACTAGTAACTGGGAACATGAGTTTTAAAAGTACATCCAACCTAAGAAGAAAGTCAAGTGTGTTGTTTTTAAAATCCTAAAAACTCACATTAAACAATGTTTCTTCACTAGATCGTGAAGGAGAGAACATTGTGGCAATTTTTTTTTTTAGAGATGGAGTCTCACTTTATTGCCTTCGGTATAGTGCATGGCATCACAGCTCACAGCAACCTCCAACTCCTGGGCTAGTGCATGGTGTCACAGCTCACAGTAACCTTTAACTCTTGGGTTTAGGTGATTCTCTTGCCTCAGCCTCCTGAGTAGCTAGAACTACAGGTGCCTGCCAGAATGCCTGGCTATTTTTTTGTTGCAGTTTGACCAGGCCCAGTTTGAACCCACCACCCCCTGCTTATGGGGCTGGTGCCCTACCCACTGAGCCACAGGTGCCACCCAGCAATATTTTTCTATTAAGAGATATCTATGGGGCCAGGTGCAGTGTTTTATGCCTGTAATTTTAGCACTCTGAGAGGCCGACATAGGTGGATTCCTTCAGCTTAGGTGTTGCAGACAAGCCTGAGCAAGAGTACAAGAATGAGACCCATCTCTAAAACAAAACAAAACAAACAAAAAAAAGCAGGCTTTGTGGCACGCACCTTAGTCCTAGCTACTGGAGAGGTTGCTGTGAGGTATGATGCCATGGCACTCTGATGAGCATGACAGAGTAAGACTCTTGTCTCAAAAAAAAAAAAAAAAAGAGATGCCTATGCATTTCCAGCTTTCCTTTAGCAAACATTTCACCCTTGCATTTAATTTTTTTTTTTTTTTAATTTTACAGACAGGGTCTCACCAGGCTGGTTGTGAACTCTTAGCTTCCCAAAGTGCTGAGATTACAGGCATGAGCCACTGTGCCTGGCCTCATGTGCACATTTTTTTAGGGACCAGCCCCTGACCAGGATCATGGGGTACCTGCTAAAATAGAATGGACAGAATGGGGAAAATAAAGACACAGACAGAAAGTTTATTTATTTTTTAGAGACGTAGTTTCACTTTGTTGCCCTCAGTAGAGTGCTGTAGCATCACCACTCACAGCAACCTTCAGCTTATGGGCTTAGGCGATTCTCCTGCCTCAGCCTCCCAAGTAGCTAGGACTACAGGCACCCACCACAACGCCCAGGGCTATTTTTTGGTTGCCATTTGGCCGGGGCTGGGTTTGAACCCTCCACCCTTGGTATAAGGGGCCGGCACCCTACTCAATGAGCCACAAGGTGCCACCTGAGACAGAAAGTTTAAAGGTGGGTCCAGGGGTCCCCATTAACCTTGGTGAGACAATGGAGGTTCCTTGGGCTTTGACCACTCAGCTTTTATTGAGTTCTCACAATGTTCATTTTAGGTGGAGAACTGAGCAAAAATCAGCCTGTGGGCTATTCGTGTCATACATTAGCAATTGTATGAATACATAAACATATATCTTTTCTTCCTTAATTGATAGTTAACTATACTTTGCCCATGCATTCTTGAGAAACAAGGAACATAACCTTAAGGCAAACAGGATGTGCCCATATCTACCTCACTCTTTAGGGGTCCAAAGGGGCTGGTAGACCGTTTGCTCCCTTGTGGGGCAAACAGGTTGATGCCAATGCCCACATTGGAAGCTGGGAGAGAAAGAAGTCCTTCTCATCCCTGCTCCAGAAGTGCTCCCTCTGTTTGTGTGGGTTTGGGTCATGCACACTATTCCCAGTGACTTTTGACACCCACCTCTCACACAGGGTTTCTGCATTCCAGCCCCCTTCAGGGCTGGAGCATTAACCCTTTAAAGGGAGAGCTGTGGCCTCCAGGCTTGATGGATTACCTATCAGGCTTTGCACTGTTATACCTGCACACAGCCATTTGGATTCCAATGCTCCTGAGTCATTTAACCTTTAAGCAGGCAAGGTTGCACTTGCTATTTCCTTCCTCAAACTTTTTTTCTGCAAGAATTATACAGACTTGTTATTAGTCAGCAAAGTTACTGTTAAAAACCAATTG